GCTTTATTGGAGTTTTAATGGAAATGAATAATGAGGCAGGGGGATAGGTTTAAGATTGGTCAGTTTAGGACCAGCAGTTGGCGTAATGGCTATGTCGCTGGACTTCCATGTAGTGGACCACGGTTCGAGTCCCGAACCCGGTGACTTAAACCCACGCTGGGCGCGCGTGCATGCATGCCCAAGATCCCGACAGGAGAATGGAGGAGAAAGGATTGCGGCGTGGCTGTCCCCCATGGGGGGCAATTTCTCGCTTTCTGTCTCTGTCTCACCCTGTCTTTCTGGCTAGCGCATGCACACTATAGCGAAAACCTCTCCCCCCCCCAAAAAAAAAAGTTTGGCCAGTTTGAGTAATTTCAGCAGGTCTGGAGCAAAGGGGCCATCCCTACGTGTCTGGCACTTGGGCCCAGAGAGTCACCTAATCAGGGCAGACAGGCAGTGTCCCTGGAGGTGGGCTGAGTCCTGTAGAGGAGGTGATTGGGGTGTGGACCCTGGATCCATCGGTTTGCATTTCAAAGGCACTCATGAGTGGGTTTTCTACTCCCTCTAGAAATTGGCTAGCCCTGTAAGGGACATTCCTTGGAGTCAGTAGGCCTGCACATGTGAAAGTATCTGAATACAGAAACTTAGGTGCACGGTTAAAACAGAAGCGAAGGCGGCTTTCCATTTTAGAGCCGCATATACTCTTACACATGAAAGGAAGACAGTGGGAGATAATAGTCACTATTCCTAAAATCTGATATACACTGGGCTCGAAATAGCTGCTTGGATGTTAGCATCATAACCAAGTCAACGGTGAGGTAGAGTAGAGAACAGTCTTGGAGACAGAAAATCAGAACAAAGACCAATGGGTGGGAATTCTAGGAAGATAGAATTCAGCTTTACACACCGTGGCCATCAGAACAAGTAGAACCATCCAAAGTGGAGCCGCTTGTTCCATGACAGAGAAATCACAATCGGATGTGCTCATTCTCTTGCCTGATACTCAGCTGAGTGAATCCTTGCACTGAAATTTTAAAATTTTAAAATTGGCAATCTCTAGGTTCCCATTAGATCCAAGACTTTTAAGCTTCCCAACCAATTTCATGCTCATAAAAGTCTTAAAAATTAGAGTCAACCCAAAAATAAAATCTAACTGAATGCTGATTGGCTAAAAATCAATTTGTCATAAACTTATGCGAATGAACTTTTGGTATTTAAGTAAAACATGGAAATATTATTCCTCCTGCCCCTTCAACATAAATTTGAATGGTCCCAGGAAGATATCCTGAAATTCAGTGCTAACAAAATAGTCTGTATAAATGAAGGAATAACATCAGTTAACCTTCCCATCAAAGAGACATTTTGAAGTTAGACTTATAGTCATGATTTAAGTTACAGCTAATGCTTCTACAAACACTTTACTTAATAGCATGCTCATCTCTCTCCCTCTCTCCAATTTCTCCTATTCCACAAGTTTGATTAACTGACGGACTGAATGCACAGTGTGTTAGAAAGGAATTTTAGGTAATCAAGTATGTACAGGCATGCCCTTGCTTAGATAAAACTCACACCGAAGAAATTTTAAACTGTACAACATGTTTTAATGATTCTAAGAACATTTGCCAAGCTAACATTTTTACTTCGTATTGCATTATTATTTTTAAAGATTATGCTCATTAAAACACAAATTTGTATTCCTCCATAAATGTTCATAGTTTAATAAGTTGAAGTTTGCAATTTTGCCTGATTCATCTCATACTCGTAGTGAAAATGGCATTGTTTCTTGGAATAATTGCCTATCTGTTTAGTGCAGCACAAGCATTCCTGTCATGCTCAGCACTCTTTGAGCTTAATCCCAGAGGGAAAAGTCGTCATTTCTGTTTTTAAGTTTACCTATTTTCTTTTTTTTCATGTGAGAGAAACAGACTAACAGACAGGACAGAAACAGTGACGAAGACATAAATATTCGCACCCCAAACAGAACCTTTATGCCGCAGCCTAGTCCTAGTCCCAGCCAGCTTGGACTATGGGTCCAAGCTTGCTCAGGGAGGTCCCAGGACATGAACCTAGGACCTTTCCCATGTGGGGCCAGTTGGATTCCTATTGAGCCACCACCTCCTTCATTGTCCTTTATTTTCTTTTTCTTTTTTAAAAGATTTTTGTCATAGGGTACATGAACTTGCCAGAGAGAGGGAAAGTGAGGAACCACCTCTCAGCAAGTATGGCCACGCCACAATCCCTTCTCCATCCTCCTCTCCAAATACGGGGCTTACACACACACACACACACACACACACACACACACACAGAGCATCATTTTCAAGCTACTGGATCCAGAACCCAAACCGTGGTCATCCGTGTGGGATCCAGCCCCCTTAACTACCTGTTCCCTCTACCTTGATCTTTTCTTGACTAACATCATTTTGCCTCAGAATCAGCAGTCTGTGTATATTATAGGAGTAGTCTTTAAAAAGTACATAAAATATATTTTATGCATAAAAATACAAATTATGCATGGCTTTGTAAAGGTTTTTTTTCATTAAAATAAGCTCATACTTAAATTCCGTTTCTCTGTAAGCCCTGGGAAGGCCCCTGTGACACACTAGCTCATTCCCCCATCTGTCACCTTAGTGCTCTGCACGGCCTAGCAGAATGTCTGTCCACAGCAGGTGCTCGGTAAATACTGAATGGGCACTGCAGAGCCACCATTTCTACCTCACTCGACAGATCTCAAAAGCTTAAGGGGAATGAGCTAAACTCAAGAGACATAGACAGTCCATTTACTTAGCTCAGAGTCGGTATTTACCACTTGATTCAATGGCAGTGACATTTCCACACTGCCAGACCAGATTGGCTAAAAGAGAAAGAAAGAAAGAAAGGAAGGAAGAAAAAAAGAAAGGAGGGAAGGAAGGAAGGAAGGAAGGAAGGAAGGAAGGAAGGAAGGAAGGAAGAAAGAAAGAAAGAAAGAAAGAAAGAAAGAAAGAAAGAAAGAAAGAAAGAAAGAAAGAAAGAAAGAGAAAGAAAGAAGAAAGGAAGGAAGGAAGGAAGGAAGAAAAGAAAAAGAAAAGAAAGAAAGAAAGAAAAGAAAAGAAAAAAAGAAAAGAAAAGAAAAGAGAAGAGAAGAGAAGAGAAGAGGGCCAACCAGGTGGCGTGGAGGTTGAGGCAACTGGACCTTGAAAGAGTTAAAAGTCTCCCAAGTGCCTTGAGGCATTGGAAGGGGTTAACCGAGTCTTCCTGGCACTGGGTTGATTCAGTGTTACACTGACATCTTAATAGGGAAGCTCATTACAATTCCCAAGTGGAGACCAGCATTACGTAATCATTAGGCCACTGGACTCCCACGTAGTCAACTGCAGTTCGAGTCCCAGATCCAGGGGCTTAAACCTCACGCCGGGCGCACATGCATGCGTGCGTGCCCAAGATCCTGAGAAGAGAATGGAGGGGAAGGCATTGTGGCGTGGCCATGCCCCTGGTGAGTTCTTGCTTTCTGAATGACTCTCTGTCCAGCAAATGCATATGCCCTATAGGAAAAATCTCTCTCAAAAAACAAAACTAACTCCCGTGCAGACCAGCAGGTGGTTACGGCTCTGGATTCCCACGCGGTCAACCACAGTCTGAGTCCCCGGCCTGATGGCTTGAAAATCACAGCAGGTTCGTGTATGTGTGTACCCAAAATCCCAGGCGGAGAGCAGAGAAGGGATTGCGGCATGGCCATCCCACTGTGGGGGTAACTTCTCACTTTCCCCCTCTCTCTGTCTCTAGCGAGCGCACATGCCCTAAGGCAATAAACTAAAACCACAGCAGCCGCTCCCAGGTGCTTCT